GCTCAACTCCTTAGTCTATAAACAGCCAATAAAAAGATTTTAAAAGCCCAACTCCTTAGAGGGAAAAAAAAAAAAAAGAAAGAAAGAAAGTTTGTTTTCCAGCTTGTGTGACTCAGCCCATCCCATCACCTCAAGGTCATTATCACAGCCTCAATAGTTCACGCTTGTAAAAGCCTCTCCTTTTCATCTCTCTGCCTCCAGAGCTGCCTGGGAAGTGTGTGTGTGTGTGTGTGTGTGTGTGTGTGTGTGTGTGTGTGTGCCCAACACAGACGCTTGCAGTTTCAGGAGCAAAATAGATGGATGTGATTGTGACAGGATGTCTGAAAACTCTCAAAAAGCACAATAAGTTTTTCTTCCAGGGAGAATTTGATTGTAAGTATGAGAAATAGAAGACCACGATGCCAGTTAGTGAAGATAGAATGTTGGAACTGGAGTGTATCCAGAGGAATCTAAAGGATGATGCTCTCGGCTCTGTGAGTTATTTAATCTATTTACCTTTATAAATTTCTGTACTTGCATTTGATGTGATTTGCTTTCCCAGCTCTGATTACTTTCACTCTTTTATTTATTTATTTATTATTTATTATTATTATTATTATTTGGCTCTCATTTTTTTAAACTAGCAGTGATGGTATGTGCACATATATCACAATGAACCCACTACGATGTATAATGCATCAATAAAAAATGATGCATAATGCATCAAGAAAAAAATAAAGTGAAAAACAGTGAAAGGGAAAATGTTGTTTTAAATAATTAAGTTCTAACTGTTTAAGAATGCTCTGAGCTTGGCACCTTTGAAACATGAGCTAAGGATTAGAAAACAGGAGATTATAGAAATCTTTCATAAACAGCTGGACTATTGGTGTCACCAAATTAAATATATTAATAGTAAGAACAGAGATCGACTTGCTTTTTATTCTGCCAGGCTACTTTATAGCCTGGGCTTATTTGTTCTCTAAAGAGAAAAATATTCACTATGACTCTACATAAGGTACATAATAACCCTATCTGTCCATATATCCACCCATCTAAAAATGTGTAGTATAAACCTGATGTAGCACTCTAAGCAACTTAAAATGAGGCATCTTACAAAAGAAAATTCTTAAAACATATTAGCAAATAAATTGTTACCCCTATAACATGTTTAAAATTCTCTTGTCTTTGCTTTTAGGATTAAGGCCACAGGATCTTCACGTGATCTTCAAGTTTCTGCCTTACTTTACAACTTCATCATGTACCATATTCTTCCCACCTCTTCGTGCTCAGATATACTGACCTACCTTCAAGTCTGACTGTGTCACAGGGCCTTTGCACCTGATTCCATAGTCTAGACCCTCTTCCTCCACCTGCCTTCTTTGTGTCTGCAGCTCTTACTTATCCATTGAATCTTATCTCCTTAGTCACTACATTATGAAAACCATCTCAGACTCCTCCTTTCAGATTCCCGTTTTTGTGTGCATTCATAAACTATAGTTTGTTGTTGTTTTTCCTGTTTGGCACTTACCCCATTTGTTTGGCATATTTATTATCTATGGCTACATTAAAAAATCACACCAAAACTTAATGGCATAAAACAGCAGACATTTATTGTCTCAAAGTTCCTGAGAATCAGGAACCGAGGGCAATTTAGCAGGGTGGTTCTGTCTCAGAATTTTCCATTCGGTTCCACTCCAGATGTCGGCCAGCCTGCAGCCACTCGAAGTCTCACCTGGGGCTGGAGGATCTGTTTCCAAGTTCACTCACATGACTGTGGGCCAAAGGCATCCGTTCCTCACCTATGGGCCTCTCCATGGCCTCACCTGAGTCTCTTCCCAACACGGCACCTGACTCCCCCCAGAGCACGGATCCAAGAGAGCAGCTGAGAAGGAAGCTCCAATGTCTTCCATGACCTACTCTTACCAGGCTCTTCTGCCAGGCTCTTCTGTTTGCCTCCATTTTCTAGAAACACATCCTTAAGGCTGATTCCCACTAAAGGGAAGAGAAATTAGTGTCCACCTTTTCAGAGAATTTTTGGATATATTTTAAAACTACCTATGTAAGTGTTTAGGTAAATGTCCACCTTTCTTACTAGGAATAGGATCCCTGTTTTTACTGTTTTCTTTTGCATCCCTTGTCCCTTCCAGGAAGCTTAGGGGGGCATGAGCATTCGGTAAGTATTGGAGGAATGAATGAATGAACGAACGAACCAGCCAACCAACCCATCAACAAACCTTTGTGTTTGAATCCCAGAGCTGGGGACTTTGTACCAGTTATAACCTCAGTTCCTGGTTTCGGGGGMGGGGGTGTAATTACAGCTACCTGGTGGGTTGTTATAAGAATTAAACGATACACTCATATATAGCACCTGGTCTAGAGGGGCACAGATGGGGGTTCATTTTAAATGTTATGTTTCTTCATCTTCCATTCTTAACGCACATATGCAATTCATTACAAGCCAGGTGGATTCTAATTCATCTTAACTATTTCCCATTCCTTTTAGTCTGTTAGTCCATTTTAATTGCTACCACTCCAAGACTCTTACACACGCTCGTACTAGACTCCTATAATCCTAAAGGGTATATATTCCCTATTTAGTACAATCTATCCCAAACACTGTAGCTAGACTGGTTATCTTCAAGTCTTTATGTCATTCACTTTTGCAACCTCTATTGCTATTGCTCTGCCCTGTCCTTGATAAGTATATAATTTTTTTTTTTGGTGAATTGAATTTGAATTCCAGGTCCCTTTCACTTGCTTATTTGTACTGAATTACTAATACATCCAAGTCCTGCTAAAGGAGTGACATAAAGAAACATGCTCTGCCAATGCCAATGCTTACAGTTTGACTGTTTGCCTCACATAATGACATTCTTTTCAGGTCCACACAAATAGCAGATTCTTTAGTAAATCAATTGCAAAATATAAGTTAAGTGTTTGCCTATAATTCTAGCACTAAGCAAGTGCCTTCACCTTAATACTGCTGGGAACTCTGTGCTGACTTTTTTTTTTTGCATTGCAATTCTTATTACACATATATACCACAATTTTTTCATATCTCTGTGTGTAGATAAAGTATGTTGACACCCAATTCATGTCTTCATACATGTACTTTGGATAATGATGTGTGTTGATTTTTAATGCTCTATATACATTATCATTACTGTTCATACCAAAAAATATTGTAAATATGTTTGCCAATAAATTTTTTTATTTTTATTTTTTGGCAGTGCTGGGGATCAGACCCAGAGTCTTTTGATGCTAGGCAAGTAGCTCTACTGAGCTACAGCCCCATCCCTAAAGATGGAAAAAGCTTAAATGATCTGTGTTATATAAATAATGTGCAGTGGTAAATAAAATTGCTGGAAACTCATCAAATGAATGAAATGATGAGACTGATAATATAAGAAATTCTGCCTTTGGATTTCTCTGACTTGCCATAAAATGCATGATGTTCAGGGTTTTAGTGGATAAAACCTGCTGGAAACACATGCACTCAGGGAAATGCTTGCTTTTGAGTGACAAATGTCTGTCTTTTGGAAACACGTAAAACCTCAGGCGGGGTCAGGCAAAGATATAAAAAAGATTTACTTGGTGATTCCTCAGTATAATATCAGTGGAATTCCAATACTTCCACCCTATTAAATTATTTTCATTGTGGAAGACCAAAGAGATTTTGGAACTAAGTTTCTCTACCCCCTATTTCTACAGAAGGCTGTACTGTAGCTGTGTGCATTCTACAAATATATGCAATGCTCTTCCGATGAGCAGTGACCCAAAACGAATCCCTATATTGAAAAGATAAGTTACTCTGCTTCCTGTTATTTCATTAACCCAGGATTTGTATAAACTTAGTGAACAACATCTCCTTTATGTTATATATAAAGCCACAGGGTCACTCAAAGAAGAGAAGGTTCTGCTAGGATCACAGGGATTCTCACCTGTGGTCAAATGTTAAAGCGGCATAAAGGTAAATAGATTCACATGGCATTAAAACTTTGAGATCTGCCGAAAAGTTTCATTTTACAAATAAGGAAACTTAAGCTAAAGATGCTTAAAGGCTTCAGAGACTATTTATTTCAGTCAGCTTTGCATCACATTGACCTAACAAGAACAAATTAAAGAAGAGAAAGTTTATTTGGGGCTCATGGTTTCAGAGGTCTTAGTCCATAGAAGACTGAGCTCAAGATGAGGCAGCACATCCATCGTAGTGGAGGGACGCTGTTTCCCTCATGGCAAYAGGAAGCAGAAAGAATGAGAAGCAGGGAGGGACTGCAGGGAAGAGGCACCCTTCCAGGGCACACCCCCAGTGACCTACCTCCTGCAGCCACCTCCCACCTGCCTACAGTTACCTCCCAATCAGTCCATGCAAACTAGGAAGGACTGATTGGGTTACAGCTTCACAATCCAATCATTTCATCTCGGAATTTTTGCATGAACACAGGAATTTTGGGGAGACACTTCATATCCAAACCATAACAGAGACTCCGCATACCAAGGCAAGAAACCCATGACCCTGCAATATGCTTCCCGCTTAGCATTACCCCAAATTCCCAGTGATTAGTCTGCCCCTGGGTGCATCAATCTTGGTGCTATTGACATTTTGGGCCACACTATTCTTTGTACTTTGTTAGGGTGTTTAGCTGCACCCTTAATCTCTAGCTTCCAGGGCACCCTCCCTCTCATCTGTGGCAACAACAAAAGAAAATGTCTCCAGACATTCCAAATGTCCCTTGGGGGCATTCCCAGGTGAGAACCACTGATCTATCCAAGGTCATTTTATTATTTAAATAAACTATTCTTTATRTTTTGTGGGCAAATACCTCAAGACACAAGTACATCATAATCAGTTTTGGAGCTGAGTTATTTGCATGAAAAACCACAGGTTTTCCAAGAAAGAGTACTTTACATCTTTTTTTTAGCATATACAGCCAAAAATAAATTCTAACCAGTGTTAGGCAATCCTAATTTTCAGCATAAAGGGGATTAAGAAATGAGCAAAAGACAATGTGACAGTTTTGTTCCATGTTTAATTAAAAAGAAGTTACATGAATAGAAATGGACATATAACAAAGATATCAATTTGGGAAAACATGGTGATAGCTAGAACAAGGGGAAAATCATTTTTATTCTGAATTTACTCACATATTCCTATTAGTTTTTACTGGTCTAAAACATATCCTTAAATCCGAAGCAATAGTCATAATTTCACTGATGTTTTCATGGAAATTCACCAAAGCAAAGTCTGAAGCATATCTTTTCACTCCCCAATTCCCTCCCTCAAGCCCCCCCACCAACACACACAAGTAGAGGCTGAGCTGTTTACCAGGTGTTAATGCAGAGTAAAGAAAATACAGCCTTTTCTGTTTCTTTACTACAACAGCAAGTCAGCACTGGCAAATGAGCATCTGATTTCTGCTAATATTTTCATGAGAAAGCTTTCAGGATATGTAACCATTTATTCTTAGGACAATTAATCACTGAAGGATTACATCTGACTCTGTTGAACATAAGTATATGCAGAGAAGTGTCTGTCGGTTTAAATGTGAGCAGACTTGAACCAGTAAAAGCATGAAATTTAAAAATGCACAGATGTGGAACTACAGTGAGTATTTTACTGATTTGTTTCATGGCTCATGATTCTGAGTACGGTCAGTCAATATTCTAGTTTTATCACTTTCTATCCTGGTGTACAGTAGCATCTTATCTTCCTAAATAAGAAAAAAAATATATTTGTATATATATATATATGTATTTATATATCTTTGGGAAAGAATTCTGATCTCTGAAAATATATACTGGTCATAGCTTTGCATTAATGATCTCACTTAAAATATCCCTTCTTTCAAGCTAGAAGCTGGCAAGCATGAAACACATTCTGGATATTCTCCATGTTGATAATAGAGAAGCAATAGACTTTACTCCCAACCCCTTTAAAATAAAAATCTTTCAGTGGGTACATAGCGGTCAGTAACCACTGATGCTCACATTTAGTAACTTTAGGTTAGGATGACCCCTGCCTCTTCTGATACTGTATTCTAAGTTTTTCCAGTTGTTCCACACACTGCGACTGGGCCAACTTCAGTGTCCGATTCTCCTCCGTCAAAGCTTCAAATTCCCGAACCAGCTGAGCAGCATCCACCTTCTCCTTTTCTGCCTGGTCCAGCTTGGCAATGAGCTCCTTTCTGAAGATTCAGGGTACAAGACCGTGAGAAGCATGGAATTCAATGCAAAGAAATCAAATGATCCCATAATAGTCCAATGGAAGTTGGCATGTTCCATTCTGCTCTTCTAAATTTTTACTCATTTGCCTCCAATGACTTATTTTTCTAGCTTCAAAACTTCATTTTCTATTTTTCAACTCTACTGGACCTATCCTATATATTAAACATATACAAAAGGCCCCACAGGTCCTTCAATGGCCCAAAGCACTCATCTTTTCAAGAGTATAACAAATTGTCAAAATTATAAGTCACTTAGAAAAAAATCAGTTTATAATTTTTATACATTAAGTTTCTGTCTGTTTTCTTGTAGGGAGAAGAACTGGTTTGCCTCTTACTGAGTCTTTGTCCTCCAAATTCATTCATTATCTTCCTTTATTTCCCTGGCCTTCTTTGAAATTAAAAAAAAAAATCCCAATTCCTTTCTTGCAGATATTACTTTTATGCCTTTTGCTGGTCCTTACAAATACACAGTTATCCATCAGTATCCTTGGGGGACTGCTTCCAGAACACCCAGGGACACCAAAATCTGCTGATTCTCAAGTGCCTTACATAAAATGGTGTCCTATTTGCATATAATCTACACACATATCCTCCTGTATACATTAAATAATCCTTAGATTACTCATGATAATACAAAAATATGCTATGTAAATATTGTTATATTGTACTTATAATATAGCATAACAGTATAATAATGACAATGGTGATGCATACCTGAAATCTCAGCTACTCTGGAGCTTGAGACAGGAGGATTCCAAGTTAAAGGTCAGCCTCAGCAACTTAATGGGACTCTATCTCAAAATTTATTTATTTTTATTTTATTTATTTATTTTGGTGGTACTGGGGGTTGAATCCAGGGCCTTGTGCATGCAAGGCAAGCACTCTGCCAATTGAACTATAGCCCCAACTCACAAAATCAAAAAAAAAAATTAATGTAGTTCAATACTATAGTGCCCTTGGGTTCAATCCCCAATACAAGGGGCAGGGGAGGGGAGAGGGAAAAAGAGAGAGAGAAAAAGAGAATAATAGCAAGAAACACACACCGTAACTACATAGCATAGGTCCACAGTTGAATCCATTAATATGGAACCATGGATAGGAAGGGACCAAATTAACCAAAGAGCATTATCTACAGGTCTGATGCTGGCCTGGCTTAAGAATTGAGGAAGTAGGCTAAGAGTACTGGAGGGAACTTAGTAGTGACAAAACCTTAAACAAATTCCATTCTCAGTAAATATCTATAAATAATTCATTGATGTAAACACACCTAATGAGATGCTAATACAGTCTATGTCCAGATTTAATTATCATGAGAACCCTAAAGGATACTAGCTCCACTTCCCATATGGAGTCAGGTAATCCTATCCTAGACCAGCTCTTAACCTAGACTGAATTCTTTGCCTCACATTTCTTCCTCCTTGTGTAACGTGTGCAAATTTGTATTGTCATCACCACTGTTGACCACATTTCTAAAAGCTTCTCTTCCTTCTTCTTGCATTGTCAGACACTGATCTGATACTACATCATCTAAGGGAAGAATAAAGGAACTGATATATTACTGACAAACAATAATATTCAAATTTATATGGAAAATAAGCTCAGGGCCACTGGGAGATAGGGAGATTTCCTGATCAAAAATTCAACTGGAAATGTTCCAATAATCCATAGCTAGAAAATAATCTGACCACCTCATTTATTCAGGTCTCCAAACATTTATTATGTAAGACTGTTAGTCAAAAAAGAGAAAAACTGTACACCTGACTATTTCAATGTATGTACATTCATTCATAAATAATATATGTGCTAATATATTATAAAGCATAACCAAATATAGATATGTAACAGAATAAGATTGAGTGCTAAAACTCGTGGGTAAAAGTCTGACAAGGAACAAGACATTAACATATTCTCAAAATGTTTCCCCACAAATCACTTACTAATTGCAAAAGAAAATAAAAAGGAGGAGGCACCTAGAAGACCACTTTAACCAAATGACCAAAGTTCACATCCCCACTGAAGAGACAGATATCATGAAAAAAAAATAGATGCCATTTTCACGTTGAAGGACACAGCATCCATTCTACAGCATTTTTGTCACAAATGATTTACCTATATCTAGTCATAAGGAACACTAGACAACATCAAAGTGAAGGAAATTCTACAAAATTGCCAGCCTGTATCTTGAAAAATGCTGTGAGCTGCCCCATATTTTAAAGAAACCAAAGAGAACTGACAACTAAATTCAATGTGCTATTCTGGAAAAAATATCTCTGCAGGATGTTAATGGAAAATTGGTGCAGTTTGAATATGGACCATGAATTAAACAATAGCTCTGTATAAATGCTAGCTTTCTTGATTTTAACAATTATACAATGGTTAAATTAGGACAGCCTTCTTATTATAAAATACTAATGTATTTAGGGCAATGGAGCATGATGATGTGTGTATATATGTATATGTATACATATACGTAAAACATACATATATACACATATTTAGATGCATATTGTATATACAAATATAAATATAGTATTAGATATTAATGAATGAGAAAGAAAATCTCTATCATGTTGAGGGAGGAAAATAATGTAGAACTAGGGAAATTCAGAAATTTTTAATAATTGGTAAATCTAATAAAGGATATTTTTTGCTACTTTTTTGTTACCTTTTTTTGTTTTTTTTTTTCCTTTACTTTTTTTTCAAGGCTGAGGACCAAACCCACAGCCTCACACATGGCAGGCAAGCATTCTGCCACTCCTCAGTCCCTGAAACTTTTTTCTAAGTTTGAAATAATTAAAATAAAGTTATCTCAGAAAAAGTACAAAGAGTAAGTTGGAATATAAGTTTTAGCATTTTCTTTCTATACCAGTAGACTGCCTTGTGCATCAAATCTAGTGCCCACTGAGCAAAACCAGGCTTTGGAAAAAAAAAGCACCCAGTCAAGCGCCAGTGGAAGACACCCTGGGGCGCCTATGTATGCATACACAAACTTGCTTGGCTCTTGCTGACTTTTGACCTTTGACCTTCATGATGTTTGGAATAGAACAGCCTTCCAATAAACACTTGCTGAATAAATAGTTTAAGAAAAATGTAGCTCATAGGAATATTAATTTATATTTTAAAGGGCAGGAAACAAAATCCAAAATGCTCCATTAACTTAAAAAGCCACAGAGCTAATAAGAAAAAGGGAGAAATCAAGCCTATCTTTCTGATTAAATGGTTAGAGCTCTGTACCTCTGAGCAGGGTTTAAAGCAGTCAATATCAATAATTATTGATTAGAAAAGGTCTTTAACTATCTTAAATAAATTAATGAGTAAAACCTATATAAGTAGAGAGAGAGAGACACACATGCTATAAATCCTCTGTCAATCAGATAATCTATTTTTGTTCTATTTTCCCCCTTTCAAATTACCATTGTCATACAAATAATTTAGGTAGAAACAGAGTTTTGCTTTCAAATCCTGGTCTGGCAGTTGGTAATACTGGGTCTAACCATGACTATTTTCCTGAGTCTTTATCTGACTTCATTTATAACTCCTGAAGTCATCTGTTAAAAGTTTTGACTAGTAGATACAATAAACCACAAAATCACCAATTTTATAACTACAAGGAATTATCAAGATTGTCTCATTCTATCTTCCTGCATTGAAGAAAGTCAATAATAATTTCTACTTTACTAGAATCAAAAAGACTCAATTGATAGGTTTCTAAATTAGTTTCATGTACTTGATAAGCAATTACACAGATATCCAATGAAAACTGTCAAAATATCTGTTGTCTCCTGTCCAGGACCTATTTCTATAGACATATTTATGCTTATCCATTAGCGATTCATAATTAAACCCTGGCACATCAAGCTATGGAGACTATCTTATAAATAGATCATCTGAAGAACAAATCGATATATAAAATTGGCTAGAATATGGTCCTGCCTCTGAGTTCTTGGTTAGAGTTACAGGAATCTTATTTCTGAAGTTAAGAACCTGTAATTTGGCTTTCCAAATGATGTAGCTCAATGGTATAAAAGCCATAACCTTGGGGTCTACCGTAGATAATCTTCCACCCCCATCCTAAGCCAGCCACATGCTTGGAAAAGGTTTTTGTAGCTAAGACAAATGGGGGAAGGGAAAGCCCAAGTGTGTTAACAAAGAAAACTTAAAAACTTTATGGAAATAAATTTCAAAATTAAGGACGTTCTTTATGCTGTAGGAGACTGAAGCATGATTTCATCCCTGGGACAAGTATTTCTGCATTCTGGAAGGACCACTTCCTTGGCATTGGCACTTTCAAAGTTAACTATGGACTTTCATTAGAAAAAGTGAAATGTTAGACCAATTGACCCCAAATTGATCCCGGTGAACTGGAGAGTGTGGGGTAATAATAAAATAATACCTTCTTCACAGGGCAATTTTTATCTTAAAACGTGGATTTGGACTACATGCACTGATGGTGGCTCTTGAGAGATGTATGTCCAAGTACAAATATTCATAAATAAGAGGAAGAGCAGATGCCTCAAGATGACAAAAAAGATCGAAAGTCCACCTTCATTGTATGCAGATTGCGTTCAGCTGAGGTTCCTCAAGCTCAGTGTAGACTCCTGTGTTGAAGCCCTGCATATGAATAATGCATGACCAAATCCAYGAATATCTTTTGGGAGCCAAGGGACAGCCTTCCACTCTTGGAGGAGGAAGGGAGACTCTCCAAAGCAGAACTTGTCCGTGTTGGCACAATTGACATCGTGGGTCTTGTTTGTTTTCGGGGTGGCGCTATGAAGCAGCTTTATTGGACATTGAGCAGCATCTGTGACTCCTACTCATGAGATGCCCATAGCAAATACCCCTCTAACTCATTACAATCAAAAATGACTCTAGATATTACCGGTGTCATGGGGGCAGGGAAGGGGAGCAGAATTACCCTGTTAGGAACCACTGCTCTAAAGAAAATGGAATCGCTTGCCATT